CAAGCCAACGTCCTTGGTGGTGCTGCCTATCCTACGGTCGCTATTCACCCGTGCCATGGTTTATTTGCTACATGCAGCAAGTGTTCAGTCATTCAATGTTGGCTGATGCCATACGCTTTGTGCTGCTATATTCTTAAAATTCAACGGCAACGCCTTGGCAATGCGGTTTAGCCGAAGCAAATATACATAAGGATATACTCAAGTATGAACATAAGTTGTATGCACTGTTTTCCTACACTTTTAATCATCTATCTCTATCTTGTGTGGTTGTTACAGTGGGCTCCAGACTCCCGAAGAGTAGAGCCATCGGGCCAGCTGGCCGTGCACTGCAGTAGAGACTAATATACCAAAAGATTATCATCTCAGATAATTAACCTCTCATCGGTAACCGCTCTCGCGAACAAATCAATTTGCCAGATATAATCCTCAAAAAGGGGTGATGTGCGCCAACGGATTCCCAACCTTTTCGTGGAATTCCTAAAGCTGCGAAACCCTGAATGCGGCCCCAAAAATCAACAATAACTCGACAAATTGCTTCTTCCGTAAGGGAAGGACCAGGTAACAGTGCCGGGTTGGTTTTCATGTTTGCAGCCATATAACTCTATCTTGATATCGGTGCGGATGACTATTGACGGTTGATGTAGCTATAAAAAGGGTCCGCCGGGAGCCGAACCGGAAAAGCGCTACTGAGCGATAATAAGGATATCAGCATAGATAACCAATGCTCAAGCATATGCGGCCTTGTTGTTGCCGACTGCAGGAGATGAAATAGCCGGTTACAACTGTTATAGATCACAGTTCAATGCAGATCTTCTTATTCAGAGACGATCAACCGTAATGACCTTCTGCGGAGGGCCAATTAAACGACGGAATGCGGCGCCTCTAAAAGTCCCCTGCGGGATATGAACAGACACAAATAGATATCAACAAAGGACGGTCCTTTGGATCATAAAAATTGTTATTATCTTACATTCTTATTCATCAGGAAAGGTTTGGGAATTAGACGGTACCCTCCGGGCCGCAGAACTCGGTACAAAGGTTGTGTCTTCATCGTCTTTGAAAATCCCAGCAGGAATGAGGCTAAGGCTTGTTTTGCGTTGTCCATTTTCCATTTGATTCTGAAGGTCTTTACATGCAAACGTGTGCAAACCGACGCAACTGGCGACCCGGGGGAGACCTTTCCTGCGACGGTCCTCGTTACGTGACATTCCTCGCGTTGCGTCCCTCGCCGGTCGACAAAAGCAAAGCCGTACATTGCACACAGTGTTTTTTTTAAGTAATCTATTCCTGCATCCCCTGCACGTTGATGGAGAAGAGCGACTACCTGATCATGTGCCGGGCGGCTACCCTCGACAAGCACGTGACGTCTGAAGTGCACAAGACGTCAATGGAGCATCAACAGAGCCAGAAGGCGCGCCTGGCACTCCAGCAGCAGCGGAACGCGACCCTGCCACAGCTCTACACCCCGGGAACACGGAGGCAGAGAAGGCCAAGCACCAGCAGCTCATCCAGCTCTTCTGGCAGCTTACCCGGGGGCGGCCCATCACGGACTTCATGGCTTCTAAGGAGGCGTTCGAGGCGCTGTCCGTCCCACACATAAGCAGCTCACACTGGAGCGGCTTCTCAGCCTGGAACCTCGCTGAGGCGCTTGACGGGGTACTGATGGACAAGGTCCGGGAGCTTGTGCGGAGCGCGCGATTCATTTCGCTGAGCATGGACGAGTGCGTGGGCATCGACAAGAATTCGCGCCTCTCCCTGCACGTGTACGTCATGGATGCGCAGTGGAGCCGGTTGCCGCTCCTGATCGATGTGAGTTTTAACGGGTGGACAGGCTGCCGGGACTGGGAGTTTGCCGCATTTGTCTTGTTCTCCACAAGTTGTAACATCATTCCTCACAAGTTCCTATCTTCTGAACTTGTGTCCACTTTAAGTACATGGGACATCCCTGCATCCCCGCAGTTGGCGCATGTACGGGGCGCACCAGACGCTGAGAACATCACGCAGTTGGTGCTGGATACACTGAACGTGGAGGGCAACCTCGGGGAGGAGGATTTGGCGCGCAAGCTCGTAGCGGTCAGCACTGACGGTGCAAGCGTGATGACGGGTGTGCATAATGGGGTGTCAGCAAGGCTCAGCCAGACCGCACCGTTCCTGCTGAGCATCCACTGCATGGCACACCGCACAAACCTCGCCATTGCCGTGCTGGAAAAAGCCCCGGTCATCAAGATGATTGTGAGCGTCATCAAGGACGTTTACAACTACTTCTCGGGCAGTGCTAAGCGTGTGAGCATGTTCAAGGATGTGGCCAAGGCTGCAGGAACGGATGGCAACCGGCTGAAGCGCATTGTAAAAACAAGGTGGATCTGTGCACGAAAGCCGGCAGCCTCCCTACTGGCGGAGTACCCAGCGCTGCTGCCGCTGTTCTGTGAGGAGGAGGAGAAGCTGTATAACACACTACGGGACGCACGCCTGTATGTCTCAATGCACGCGCTGATGTCCGCCCTGGTCACCATCGACATGTTCATCAAGCTTTGCCAGAGCCGTGGGCTGTATATTGGTGAGCTGGCCAAGGCGCTTCAGCGCACCAAGGATCGGCTGCGCGGCATGTACCTCANGCCGGAGACCCGCTACACCA